TCAGTTTCAGCTCAAATCTTGTTGGATTGATAGGCAGTTATTTTCTGTTATGCACACAAGCCAATTCTTGAAATTGATTTTCTGTAGAATCCAGTTAGAGTTATTTAAGATTCTCAGTTTTGCTGAGAAGAAATTTGCCAGCACAGTCATTCTTTAAATTTGACACAATGACTTTTAAAATGACTCTGACACTAATCTCCCCTTCTTTGTGGTGATCTGTGGGTGTGAATATGAAAGTAGATGCATTTCTGCGTTTCACAGGTACAGTCTGGTGTGAATCTGCCTAGTCACAGGTTAAATCATTCCCGAGAACTTTGTTCAGTTTCTTTCTTACATTTTGCAGGAAGACCAAAGCAAAGGGGAATTTAAAAAAGAAAAGAAAAGAAAGACTGAGGCAAATTTGTTTCCTGTGTCAACACACTGGGGGCACTGTCATTAATCTGGCTACAAGTACAACATGTTTTAAGTTTGAGGTGGAGTAGACGTTGGTGTGGGCCCAGCAGGTGGGCCGCCGAGTCTGCTGAGAGCAGCAGAGTGTGAGATAAAAGAGGACGCCGCCTAGAAGGCAAGGCAAATGAAAAGGTCTGGGCTGGGGGCTGCAAGTAGCCAGTGAACACATGTGGGCCTGCACACAACAAGAAAGTTTCTTCTTATAAATTTGGTCAAAATGGGCACACACAAACACAAACGCACACACACACAGAAATAGCAAGCTCATCAACGTTAGTTTATATTTGTCCATTTGCTACTAAACGTTTTTTAGTAGCTGGTGTTAAATACGGTTCACATAAACACATGACCATAAGAGTCAGTGTAGGTGTCTGTGTGTAGCTGTCATATCAACTTCTGTTTCTTTAATGCAGGAAGAGCAGATAGAAAGTGTAAATGACAGCATTTTATCTCAGAAACCAGACGAGTTTTAGGACCACATGTCTTTCCATTACTCCACTGGGCTGTACATAAATCTCTGTAATGTCAGCTGAACCATAGCCCCAAATTGGGGCTATTGATTTGATATTCAAAGTAAAATAAATCTTTTGGAAGTCTCTGAACATCTAGATGTTTGGCCCCCTTAATTATATTTTAATTTCAGACTGGTTCAAAGCAGCCTTTTCCCCACAAAGCTAATGAAGAACCCCTTGACCCACTTGGATGAAATCTATTTTTAGCCAACCAGCACTAGTTTAAAATATGGAGGGCTACATACTGCATGGGAAGGATGCTGTATTTGTCGGCTTCTGCTCCCACCTCTCACACATATGTGGAATTCATCACTACTGAGTGCCTTTCAGCCTGCTTTCTCAGGCTACACAAACACGAGCCGGAAACATAATGCATAGAGCAGAGCATCCCAAACTCAGATGCTCTTGGAATGCTAACATGGTGGTGTTAGATTTCCCAGCTACCACTGCTCCCTCCTGGGTTGAAGCAGCTACAAATTCTTTCAGTTCAGAGGTCAACACAGGATGAAATGTAACTGCCATGCCTGCTGCTGGCCCAGATTTCTACCGGGAAATGATTTGAGGCTCTTTGTGGTTGTGAAAAAGTAGACGCTACCTTCTTAACACAGACTTTCATGCAAAATGTCTCAAAATGACATTTTGTGAAGAAAGTCCAGCTTTTCTGAAGCACAGCTAAGGACAGTGGGTGTCCAAACCCCGCTGTGAGCCCGTCATTTTGTACACACGTCATCCCTGCAACCCATCTTCACACATACTTGCACACTGGTCGCAATACAAAGAGAAGCTAGAGGAAATGGTGTTTTCAAAAGGACAGTAGGTGCAAGTTCTCCTGCAGCATATATTCTCTCGGCTGACAGCAGCCTGACAGCATGGGTCTGCTTGGGATGAGCCAGAAATTGTGGATGTAATGGGATGGAAAGATCTGGAGTTTTGCCCAAGCCTCTTAAAATGCTAACCAAGTATCAGAGCTGATGATCCTAGCGAGCATTCAGAAAGCAGAAAAACATCCCTTAGGAAAACTATATTTCAAGAGACCTTCGTGAATATCTTAAGCCGATGTTTATCTCCAAACACTGAAAAAGCCCCACTTCTTTCAGTCAACATCTTTCAGAAGCATACGGATAAATAAGAACTCTTAATAGGTGGTCCAGTTCAGTCCAAATGACAGCTCAATTTTCTTTGTAAAACTAAAAAAAAAAAAAAGTATAGAAAAGCCCCAGAATGGTCTTTTTTGGGCTGAAATGAATATGAAAAGCACCATTTGACGCTTTGTCAGTGGGACAAAGGACACGGCTGTGGAACTGGGAGACCAACCCTCATCTGGCTAAGCTCTCAGAACGTCTGTCCAGGACTCCATGCATTCCTCCATTAATTTCCCCTCAGTGGGCAAGCACTTTCCCTGCCAGGGACTTGTCTTACCTCCGGTGTAACCGCTGCAGCTGCTTGTGTTTGGATGACCTGGGCCAGGAAATACTAGTGTTGGTCTCTTCCTGTATACCTCTGGGTTCAAAAAGGGTCATAGGGCTTCTAGTAAAATCTACAGTATGGAGGAAAAACAAGTAAATATATGCCCTAAAATTAGATTAATGTAACTTAAATAGAGTAGCCACCGCTGTGCTGTAGTACTAAAAAGGTTACACTGTGATCATACTACTTGAGGAAGCCCTGCCCAGCTTGTTTCGGTGTTAATGGAGCACCATGGAACAAATGTTTGGGGCGGCAGGGGTGTTAAACACGCCGGGGGTCAGTGTCTGTACCATGGCAACGGCTGGGATGCCGCCTCCTGGGAAAGCAGACATTCAGCCGAGCAGAGCTGTACAACAGCCTGCGCACAAAAACACTGCAAGTCGTAACATGCGTTCCATTCCAGAGTACACACACAGACACCCAGACACACGCGCACACAAACAACAAGGAATGGGACAAAAGTTGATTAGCTCACTCATCTGCATCGCCTGTGGTTTCTTTCTGCGATAAACGAGTAGGTTTTTCCACTATATTGAATGTACAAGGTCAAATACAAACAGCAACTGACAACAGCAATAACTGTCATTATATGCCATCTCATATAACTGAGCCTGAAAAGCAACTTGAAGTGAGGAAAAGTGTTATTACACAAGTAGAAGTGAACATGGAATCAAGCGGAGGTACAAGCTGACACAACCAGAACAGGCGAAAATTCGCCAAAGAAAGCTGTCTTAGCCACAGATCAAATCTCCTCTGACAGGATTAAAGGCCTGCACTTTCTAACAATGGATGATGAATGGGTTGCAAAGAGATTTTGATAAAAGGGGGTTGGAAAAAACATGCACATACAAACCCACAGCCTGTGCCACTGTACCAATCCACTGTAATACCCTTAGATGTATTGACATTTTCATTGTGGAAACTAAATCAAATGTCATGCAGAACAGAAACAGCCCTCCGAAGCAGCCAGTCATAGTCAACACTCATGCAAATTCTTATAAGAGCCTGTCCAGTATTCTCAAGTGTCGCCAGCCAGAAGCTTTTTAGATCCACACACCACCTATTCATTTATTCATTTCCTCCCGAGCCTAGCCAATAATTTCCCAGAGATCCCATTGCCAAACACCGATTGCTCAAGACAAATGAGATGACACAATGGGCTCGCCAGTCCGCCCACGGAGCAGTGAGGATGAGACGAGTCAGCCTTCACCGCATGACATTTCTGAATTGGATTTCCAATTAGGAGAATTTAATGTAATAATCTCAAGCAAATCTTGCAGTCTCCACGAAGTAACACAGTGGCGCATCACCCCGAGCTTTGCCTTAACACTTCTCCCTCAGAGGAAGGCGGCTGTTACCGGGAAACCCAAGGGAGCAATTTTAGATGATTGACATACACTTAACCACAGACAGGCAACCTGCAGGTTGTATGAGAGGCAGCATTTAGAGAAGCTATAAGCCTTATATTTTTAAAGAGTCGACTCTTTTTCAACAAAAGGACTTTTAAATTCTTTCTTTGCAGGTTTTCATATTGTGTGTAACACACTGTGTAAACCACAGAAACTTCATGATTAAAACAAACAAACATGATCTTTCACCAGAGAGAAAAACAAGAATCAAACTGTGGCGAGCCAATAATGCAGATAACATACAGCACAAAATGAAAAATATCTTATGTGATTTTTTTTTTTTTAATGTTCTCAACATCTGCACAACCTTACAGGGATCGTATACTTCTACTAAGGGCTTGTCCCTTTAGTACATCTTTTAGCTTTACCCAGTGTGTGATTTTGGGTAATTGAATCTGATTATGTCCACAGTCACGATCAATTGCAGACAATACAATGTGGACAAGTATGATAGCTACTTTATATAACTCTGGGCTGTTTTTTCAGTTTTTAATAGTGACCTCATAACTACTGAAGGCTGACAGAGAAAGCAGGAGGAAGGAGAGCTAACTCTTTCTAACCATACAGAGTAGGTCTTTAATAGATGTGACAAACCACATCAAATGTTTACCTCACTGAGGACTTCCTCCAGTGACTACTAAAAAGAGAAAGTCATATTCCTGGTTCACACAAGTCTGAGGATAGTCAATAAGGTTTCATACGACAAAGATTTCCTTATAATAAGATAATTTTGCTAAACAATGAGAATCCAATTGTGAGAAGACTTTCCATCTCCAGACCTGTGACTGTGTTCACGTCCAGACTCTATGTAAGCATTATAATTACTGACACATCTGCAATTCGTTTCTTTAAACGTAATCGTGGGCCGATTCGTTACAGATTTCTTTAGTTAAGTTGCATAATTTCCTCTCAGGCTGTTTGTGCACATTACAGTAGAAATGGCAGTAACACAGGAGGTGTAGGCTAACAAAGAAGCATGCCACTGCATGGGCGCTGCACTGGTTTGGCTTGCGATTGTTTGACAATGCAGGGAAGCATGCAAACATGAAACATCGTTTCTTGCAGTAACAATAAAGGATTGGGTAATATTCGCCAGGGGCAAAGCTGCTGTCTGTCTCCCATGTAGTCAGAGCCACCTCGCCTCGGCTTTCCCCAAGATTACCTGAGCAGACTGGAGAGCGGATGAGAGGAGGCGCCGTAGCCACCGCTGTTGCCGCTTCCACCGGTCCCAGACGATCCGCCAGCGGACTGTCGCTTCCCGGATAAAAGCTTCTCCACGGCAGCCAGGTTTCCCGTGCGCGCCGCTTCAAGAAGCTCCTGCTCCTTTCCCATCGCGGATCCCAGAAAGAAATCAAAGGAGGCGCGGGGAAAAGAAGGAAAAAGGGGAGGGGGGTCGGTTATGGGAGTGAAATTCCTGTGCGAGCCCCTCTTTCTCCCGACCTCAAGTTATTTCTCAGTGCTGCTAAGTGTGAAGGGGAAACAAAAGCTCCCTCCGCCGCCGGATCCGTCCGACCCGATCCACGGGTGCTTCTGGCGTTCACTGGAGTGAAAAGTTTCTTTCAACAGCACGGCGCATCGAACAAACTTCCTCTGACCAGACCACTGAGCGTCGTCCGTCACTTCCTCGAAACTGCCCTTTCTTTATGCATCTCCAGTCCGAAACCCTTCAGACGCACACGCATTCGCACACACACACATTTATACCCCCTATCACCGCCGCCCTTACTGCTTCAATCAGAAGGTGGATGGATATAAGCAAGATGGCGCATTGAATAGAGACAGGCAGGATTTACCCATTCAGTGCTTTTAAGATCTGTTCGCCTCTGACCTCTTGTATCCACAGTAAACGTCCATACATAGTCCCTTAATTACTTACTAAACGCTTTATAAATTACTGATTGGTAGCTGTAAGTATAAATAATACTACTAGTAATAATATCAATAATAATAACAATAAGAAGAAGAACACAAATTAAGAATAAATATTTATGAATAACTATAACTGTGAATTACTCTTACTATCAATGGAACTACTTGACATTAGCAGCTAGGCAACTCTAATCGTATTAATTCCGGTCAAATTAATAAATGTTTTACAGCATTTTGTCCAGTGAAAGTAGATAATCTGGGAAATAACAAGAGAAAATCAAGGAATATATAATGCTTTATTTATTTCAGACAGAAGCCACTTGCAGCCTGAATATTCACTGAATATTGCGCTGTAATTAAGGGGCAAAAAGACAACGCAAAATGAAACGAACAAACAAATGAACGAACATGACCTGTTTATTCCTAACATCTGAACGTTACTTCCATAGTCCTTCGCTGGTTACTTCACAGAAGGCGGTGTTAATAAAGTTCGTACAAAACGGAAACGGAAATGCGTATGCTGTGTTAGCAACATTACCAGGGAAATTAGCCATTTGATGCATCGTACCTCTTACTGTAGGTGGTTACGTATTTATATAATCCGTAGCTACTGCGTTCATTAGAATATACTTTTGTGTACTGGGGTATATTATATCAATCAGGCATGTGTTAGCCCCCGCTAGCTTCTAATTATCGTTAGCTTAAATTGACGGCCAGACTGTTGCCGCTGCTTTGTTGACGCCTAGCTGCGTACAGGGTATGTGCATACTGGTTTGTTTGTTTTTTGTAAAGTTTTTATCCACACACTGCTATTAATACTAATGTACCTAATTTCTAGGCTAGCTAGCTAAAACAATTAAGTAATTTAGCCAATTGTAGCTAGCTTTTTAGAGTTGGGGTAAGCATCTCATCAACTTCTTTGATATTTGCAGAATCTAAAGTGAAATTAGTAAAATGGCAGACCCTGCACGGATCAAGAGTGATGATGCACTTAAGAGGACATCTCCTACCGACGAGGAGCACCTGAAGTCAGAGGAGAGTGAAAATCCTTCAGCCACAGAAAAACCTGCAAATGAAAACCTAGAGACATCGTCGCAAGATCAGCCTAAAGAAAATAAACATGTGAGTTTCGGAGCGTCATTTGCATAAGTTATTCAAGAAAGAGGTTATAAAAGAAAAAGTGGGATAAGTAGGGCGATGAAGAAAGTAAACAGGAGTACTGGAAGGCTAGACGCACTGCATAGGCTTGTAGTGAGATGTATGTGAGGAAGGAGAAAAATAACTTGAATCACTGGTAGACGGAGAAATCAAGATGGAAAGTATTTGAAGAAGGTTATGGCGATTAAGGATAGAGATGGAAATATGGTAACAAATGACCCGTGGATCTAGAGAGAGGAAATGATTGGGTGCCAAGGGAGGATTGCTGTTACAGCATGATAAGGCAGGAGTGGCAGAGAAGTAGGGAGCAGATAGAAGAGAGGTGGAGATATGTGTTGGAGAGAAGAGGAATCAAAGTCAGTAGAAGCAAACAGAATATATGTACTTGAATGAGAGGGGGATGGGCTTAAAAGTGAAGATGTAAGGAGCTGAGGTACTGAGTGTAGATTAGTCTATAAATATATGGGCTCAGCCATCCAAAGCAATGAACCGTGCAAAACGGAAGTGAACAAGGGAATGCAGCCATGGTGGAGCGAGTGAAGACGCTTGTCAGGGGTCATTTATGCCAGAATGATAGCAGCAAGGGTGGAAGGGTTACACGATGGTAATGAGACCTGCAATGATGTGTTGTTTGGAGACAGTGGGGGTAACAAAAAGACAGGGGGTGGAGTTTAAGGATGCTAAGATTTTCTTTGGGAGTGACCAGTATGAACAGGGCTAGACATAAGTATATCAGAGGGTCACCTCAGGTTGAGTATTTTGGAGACAAAGTTGGAGAATCAAGGCTGAGATGGTTCTAATACTTACAGAGGAGGGATGGTGGATTTACTGGACAAAGGATGTTAAAGATGAAGCTGACAGACAGAAGGTAAAGAAGAAGACCACAGAGAGGTTTATGAATGTAGTGAAGGAGGACATATAGGAGTTTGGTGTATAATAAAACAGGATGAGATGCAGGCAGATGATCCACTGAAGAAACCCCTAAAGAGAGCAGCCAAAACAAGAAGACCCTAGACAGTTGGTTGACAAACTTAAATGTACTGTTTCAGTTCCATTTTAAATAAACATTGTATTACAGTAAAATTAATGTTACATTAAAAATCATTTAACTGACCATATGTATGCTAAAAAGTTTAAACCAACAAAAATCCTAAAACCTGAATGATCAGATTTGAATTTTTAGGCTGTCATTTGTGTTTTTGTTATGTGGTTTCACAGTGGTGTCTCTGTCTTTGTAGTATTTCTGAATAATTTTGTCTTCCACTGGATAGGAAACACCAGGGGGAGAAGATGAGGAAGAGGGAACCTCTGGCCAGCCTCCTTTGAAAAGGTTAAAAGTGGAACCTGAGAAGAAAAAGGAGAAGCGGCACAAGGTTGATGAAGATGAAATACAGAAGATGCAGTAAGACGACCTTTTTAATCTCATAGATCATCGTTCTTATTCTTGAAATCATGTAATTTGCGAAAATTCGCCATAACTCCATAACATTTTCAGAGTTTTGGTGTCATCATTTTCTGAAGAGCAGCTGAATCGCTATGAAATGTACAGACGTTCTGCATTCCCGAAGGCTGCCATTAAAAGGGTAAGGTTTTTGTTTTGTTTTGTTTTTTTTAATAATAATAATAGAGGAAGTATTAAAAAACCCTGAAAATGTTGTATTGATTTGATGTCTCTTATTTTAATATTCTAGCTCATCCAGTCAATAACAGGATCATCTGTGTCCCAGAATGTTGTTATTGCCATGTCTGGTATTGCAAAGGTCTTTGCTGGGGAAATTGTCGAGGAAGGTTAGTTGGAGGATTTAAGAAAACCGAAGTCACCCAGACTACGAGGTTGTATGAATTATAGTTTCATGAGGTGTCTTTGCCTTTACAGCTCTGGATGTTTGTGAGAAGTGGGGAGACACACCACCACTTCAGCCCAAGCACATGAGGGAAGCAGTGAGGAGGCTGAAGAGTAGAGATCAGATTCCCAACACAAAGTACAAGAACATTCTCTTTCACTGACACACCTGAGCTGCAGATTGTATGAGGATGACAGATAAATGCCAGTAATTTAATAAGTGGTGCAGAGCATATGGAAAACTCACCATGAAGCCACTTAACACATCTTGCAGCCAAGTAGGCAGTGACTGCAGTCCTGAAGAGCAGTCAAGGCAGCTGCTAAATAAAGCTGAGTTGTCATTCACCCCTCAAAGTCGAGGTAAACGTTTTTCTCATCATTAAATTGGTTGCAACTAAACAGTGAGAAATGATGGTTTTATTTAAAACATGTTTTATATTTTAATAGTCAATGTTTCTTTTTCTTTTTGACTGAAACATTTTAATGTGATTAGGACCAAGCTGAAAATGCAAACATCATTTTTAGTTTGATTCCATATTTAAAAGCCTTCGAATCATTTAAGACCCTTCTTCTCTGTAGCCAATAGTATTAGTTGTTTGACCATGAACTGGAATTGGAAATAGTTTGGACTCAAGACAGACTTGATGGAAAAACTGGGTGCTTGACATTTGTTACTTCAGTTTATATTTTTGTGCAGGTTGTAAACAAGAAGATAAATTCTGTTTAAACTGTATTTGTAAATATTGTACTTTGAGATTAAAGTCAAGTTTGCATTATACTAGTAAAATGAGCAGAATGATACTTTGAGTTTTTTGCTCAGACAGCGCCATAAATTCTCTGATACATTGCAACATACAAACATGCATTCAGCTGAAAAAGATAAAGACAAAATGTGTTTAGCAATTAATTATTTATTTATTTTTTTACTTAAATTAATCTCTACATACTACGTTTGGTTCACAGAACCAGTTTAAAATTAGTCTTAATTAAGTGATGAAGACAATATAAAATTCTATTTAATCCTACACAACTCACAAAAAAAAAGTGTCCAAACATTTGCATCACTTAGAAAGATTTCACAATTACTCCTCCAGTCATTTGAAGTGATTTACATGAAAACAAGTGCAATCTCCACTATACCACACAGGTGCAAGTAATCCACAAGGTATAATCAACAGAACATCACTTCAGCACATGCATCTAGAGAGAGAGCACACCACACTCTGGAGTGAATCTTACACCACTCTTTGTCCACTTCCTTTCTGCATGGCACACTGGGGAAAAAGTTAGATTTACATAGAAACCCTGGCCTGCTCTGGAGTGCAAATAAACTCTGGTGTAACAGGTAATGAGCAGATTTAACTTAAAGCACCAGTTTTTGTTTTTTTTGTGGAACAAAAATGCTACTAAACATGGAAGCCTGACTGAGGAGAAAGAAACTGGGTAAACCTCAGAGCTACATGATGCATCCAGCACGGCACGTTCAATTCCGTACCAATATATCCGTCTACTACAGGCATGCAAAAGCAAACACCAACAGCTGAGAAATATCACATCTCTAAGTGATAATGAGGTTAAAAGGCAGTCTATGTTCTATTACATGTATAGATAGAGGATATTTTGAGTTATACAGGTAATTGATCACCCCGTGAACTAAAGAACTCCACATCAAAAAAGTGTAGTGTTACGGTTCTTTGTCATGTTTGTGGATAAACTTGAGTGTCTATTGCTTTGACATCTAACATTCCTCTTTAATAACATAAAATGTCAGTCACAGGCTGTAAATTTGCTAAAGTGCAAATTGAAATTGTAAATTTGCACTTGCTAAAAAAATTAAAATGATAAATAACATTTTAAATGGAGTGTATGCTGGCAAGTCAACACCACCAGAGGTCTCAGAAGGACCGTTATGAGTTTAAGTGAGTGGAAGATTTCTGTGACAGCTGTGCAACCATTAAACCCCTGCCAAAAGGCAAAATAACAAAACGCTAATTTAACATTAAGACACTTTTAGATAAAATGTGACTGACAGCTTCATGAAAAGTTTACCCAACCAGTCTTGGATAAACAAGTCAATCGCTTCAAATCCATGTAACAGATTTGTGGATAATGGGAAGGGACAGAAATTTAAACTTGCAACTGGCCTGAAAAGATCATATCTGCAGATTAGGATTAAATACAGTTAAATATGAGTGTTGTAGTAAATCTGACAAATATACATTACATTATCGGTACCATAGTTCTTATAAATGTCACCTTCTTTGATTGATATGGCTTGAATACAATGTAATAAGTCAAAGCTTAAAAACAAAACACAGGCAGTAAAACAACACACAAAATGAAGTCAGGTCTATGATGTCAAATCACTACACACAATACAAGTGTACAGAAGTAATAACACTATCAGTCTGAGTTGTTTCCTGGTAAGCTACAAAACACAAAGAGCACAGGTATTATACCATTGCTAGCTGGTATATTCTCAGATGTCTTTATGCCAGAGAACTGGACTGACAAATCCAATCAGGTCAATAAATTGAACCTTGTGTGCAACCTCTCTACCGTCAAGGGAAAGGCACATTGCCTTCATTGGACATTCAGCCACAGAGCACATCGTTTCACAGTACCAAAGAAGCATAATCAACATTTTGCAACTAAAAAAAAAATATATACATATAACACTGGGGAATGATTCAGCCTCTATGCGTAACCATGCCCCCCTGTTGATCAAATAACCAGGTGGAATTTGAAATGAATCAGGCTCTCCATGAAAGCAGTGGAGGTATGCTTTTTCCCCCCCTGCTTTTAAAGTGCTTTTTTCCCTACTTGTCAAAACACATTTTCCACCAAGTGGGAAAAAAACCCCACAAGTTTACTTTACAATTAACAAAAGTAATCTTTGTTACTAAGTCTAGCTCTCTTACTGTCAGTATGTATATGTGCTACATGTAAATTAGCACTGTTCAGGCAACATGCTTGAGAATATGTTTTGTGACGTATTGAGATGAACTAGCAGCTGTCTGGCAGTGTCAGTGCATGTGAAAAGAGGTTTTGGCTTGTTTTATGTGTGTAATACTGTTGTAACGCAAATACTCACTAGAGAGAATTAAAGCTTAATAATATGTACCTTTGCATGCTGCATGACAAAACACTAAAACCACACAACAAGTTTACCGTCCACACTTATTTGGATGAGAAATAACCAGAAGAAGAAGATCTGTTTACAGCAGTGAGGATTATCTAGACCGTTAATGTACCTATGTTAGTTTACCAACTTCCCCATCCAGTAATTGTTATAAGTGGCTTTTTTTTGTAATTTCATAAATAAAACAAAGGAAGTAATCCAAACAATCATCTTGGATTCCTCTTCTTTTGAGACATGTCTGATGTCCAGACATGAGTGAGTCATGCTGGTTCCCGACATTCAGCCTGACCAATCCCATCAGCATTCTTCAGCAGCGACAGATTCAGAAGTCAAGCACAATGAAGTTCAGAGGGTAAATTTGGGGTCATACTTCCTGACTTCCAGCAGGAGGCGCTCTTTCTCTCTGAGAGCCTGAGTAAGTGCAGCCTGTACCTCACAGAGCTGTGACTCCAGTGGTTGTATCTGCAACAACAGGATTAATGGATTAGTTAGCTACAGACCATGCGGGCTGATACGTGATTCTGAAAGCACTACCATTACATAACTCTGCATTTAAGACACATCGCTGTAAGTAAGAGGGCACTAGTTTTACACCTGTATTTAAAAATTAATAGTTAATCTACCTGAGCTGAGTTTTAAATATCTTGACCCCACTAAAAATGAATAAAAGTCAAAGATACACACACACACACACAAATTTGAGCCCCAGAAAGCAGTACATTACAGAGCAACACATCATTATATACACATTACCTCACTATGCTGTTGAACAGCGAAAGAGTTGTTAGGGTTATCCCCACCAGTTTCTGGAAAATGTCCTAATGCTTTAGAGCCTCCACCTCCAGCTGCAGCCAGAAAGGAAAATAGTGATGATCAGTTTCTGTTCATCTTTCTTTCGAACTGTGACAGCTGATACTCTATAGCTGGGTCTTTGTGGTTTCAAGGTTCATGATCAAGAATCTAAAATTCATCATGGTGAACAAAATTCACGTTGAAAAGCGTGCTTTTCTTGCTCACCTCTGACTCTCATGATGCCATTATCACTACGCTCGAGAACCAGCTCATCTACAATGAATGTGGCTGGAACAGGTTGGGGGGCTGTGGGGTATATTCTGGGGCCATCATCCTTGAAACAAAAAATAATTAATGAATTAATTTTAAAAAAAGTTCTTTTGAAAGGTTAACGTTGAAAATATTTTAGTGGAGTTTTTGTGACTCAACAGATACCGACATCCAAAGCAAACACTTCACATGCCACGAGGACAGAAAGACACTTACCTTCATCGTGATGGTGACGTTGCTCATGTGCAACTGCATTGGCTGACCGTCAACGCTGAATTCATCTTCAAGGAAAGGACCAATGTTAGTAACTGTTGAGGCTAACAACTCAGCCTGACAGTCTTGCACTCTCACATCCAGAAAGCCCAGTGATTCAGCCAGAGCAGAGCGCCGAGCTGCAGTTGGACCCATTTCCGCCCGCATGCACAATGCTGGAGAGGCACTGCTACCCTCCCTACTCTGCTTCTGGACTGGCAAAACTGGTGCTGCACAACAAAAGAAAAAAAAAAGGTACATTTGTAAACCATTCTGAGAACGCACACAGAACTCAGGTTCCAGCATGCTCTCCCAACATTAACTAATCTAGTTCAATATTTTAGGCTGAGCTAATATGTCCATACAGTGCTGTGAAACCCTCCTTACTAACTTCTAGGTTTCTGGATATTTGTCATATATGTTTCAGAATAAAAAACCTTTAATGTTAGAGAAAACCTGAGAAACTACAAAATGCAGTTTTTAAAAGAGGATTTCCTGTATTAAGTGAAAAAGTATCTAAATCTACCTGGCCCTTTGAGAAAAATTTACTGTCTCCTTGTGCCACAAAACTGGTTGTGCCACCCTTGACAATGGGAAATGTAATCAAACATTTGCAATAACTCACAATGAGTCTTTTACAGCCACAGTGGAATATTTATGAGCATGAATGGAGATTTAAGGTCATATCAAAGCACTAGGCCACTCCAAAACCGTTTTTTTTTTTTAAAAATTCATGTTTCCATCAATTATGGCAAGTCGTCCAGATCCAGTCTGTAACATCAGTGCACAGAGTATTTTCTCAAAAGTTTTGGGCATCATCAAGATGTTTTTTGCTAAAGGTGAGACAAGCCATTGTGTTTTTTTGTTGTTGTTGTTGTTCAGTAGTGGCTTTGACCTTGGAAATCTTCCACAGATCCCATTTTGGGCCAGTTTTTTTCTTATTGATCTTAAGCTGTTCTGGGTTCTTTTGTGACTTCTTGGATGAAAATTGAGTATTCTTGGAGTAATTTATAAATTTAAATTAAAAATGTAATTTTACTTTTTTTAAAATCAAATACAAAACAACATTTTGTATTTACTTGGATTATCTTTGTTTAATATATTGTTTGATGTGGTTAATATTAAAAAAAAAAAAAATCCGGAAGGGGACAAACACTTTTTCACAGCACTGTATACAGTCCCTGTATAAAGTATGTTTTTATGGGTTCATTATGAAGGATTGTTTATGAGCCAAAAAGCTATTAAAGAAACAGAACCTATTCATTTTTGATTTTTCTTAAGCCCAATCACACTAAGAATCAAACATAATTTTGTTTTTTTCTGAATATAATTATCAACCCACAAACAAGTAAACAGGAAAAGAAGCATGTCATGAGTAAACATTAAATGAGGCCATGGCATAGATGAACAGGGGACTAAAATTATTTTTCAGCATGACAGATAATCGCTTACTTTGAATGACACCAGCAAGCACGTCTGACTGTCTGACATTACCCATGTGTACAGGGGTAAGAGTTTGCGCTTCAACAGCCACAACTTGGTCTTCTCCCTTTACCTCAATGGTACAAGATGTTCCACTCAGGATCAGCAACAACACTGAGGACTGTACAACAGCACATCACAAGTTAAATTTGAACTAAATTAAATTCAAATTTAATCTACTTCTGAAATTTGTTATATGATCGCAATAACCCACCGTGTCCTGAGAGACATCCTCTGTACTTTGGGACAGGGAACTGCTAAGATCAGCTGATGAGCCTCCCTCTGTCCCTGGGGCTGGGCTGCCTCGACTGCCAACAGGTGTGCTGTTAGGGCGCATGGACTCCATTCCTGATTCTGGAACAAGAAACAAAGTAATGGTAGATGCCACTTGTGCATGTTAGAGAAATGTATGTAGAATCTTGGTACTATTTAAACACCTGAGTCCAAGAGGACAACAAAAGTGTCACTGATATCACTATCCACAGAAAGATTTTCATCAGGCAGGCTGCCATCCAAGATAGCACTGTCAAAGGAATGCTGGGAAGGAGACGGCTTCATGGATTGTTGACGAGACTCTTCTGAACGTTGAACCTGTTCCCTATGAACATACAGACACAATCTGTGATTAAGGGAAATCCAATGAAAAACATGAGGTGCACAGACATAAAAAACAGCATTAAGCAGGAGAGTACTAGCGCTTACTTTGCCTGTGGACTGAACAATTTGCTCATCCCCGAGCCACGACTCAACATGCTAAAGGCATCTTTTGTTATTGAAAATGCCCCTTTAGTCAGGTCCAGCGAGGCACTAATGGCATCTTTGGTCACATCCTTGGTGACATTAATGGCGCTTGACAGCTCTCCCTCAAGGCTGAAGGTAGACGGTTCTCTGGAGAGTACTACAGACTGTCCGGGTGAGAGGGGAGGAGAGGGAACAGGAGCCTCCAGACCCTCCTCCACAGCCTCACAAGCCTCCTCCACCCCTCCATCTTGTTCATCTTGGTCAAATCCAACTGTATTGATGGAGGAGATACCATTTTCTAATCCACTGTCCTCAAGAACAACATCAGAGTGATGAGATGGGGAGATGTCAGAGTCACTTATGGGGCTGTCTGTTTCAGGAGTGTGGGGGACGACTTCTTCAGGCTCTGTGCAGGCTGGTGGTAAAAGCAGACCCAATTCCACTGAGTCCACCACAAGGGCAAGGCAAACTGTAGCCATTTTTGTCTTCTGGTCATGAGCCTGCTTAACATCTCGTATATCCCGGCCCAACTCTGCTCCCAAGCGAGCCATTGCATCTTTCATCCTGAGCAGTGCAACGTACTGATAGTGGTTGAGCCACATCTTCACTGGTGTGATTGTGTGGGCCAGGAAATGGACCGAAGCAAGCGTAGCCTCTTGCTGATGAGGCTCCTGCTCTGAAGAAAGCTGATGGGTTTTGCTGGGACTGGAGGAGGAAGACAATGAACCGCTTTTAAAGGCACATGGCTGACACATCCACACAGACATGGCAAAGGGCTCAACAAAAGGCTGAGTTTTGCCTTTGGGGAATCGCCGTGCTCCATCAAAGCCTAATGTAACATGGGACAGACTGAGAGACCACATGTCCTGGGATCGCAGCTGCTTTCTGTCCAGAGGCTGGGGCTCCATCTCTTGAGCATGCTGAAGGAAGATGGAAGGAATGGGGTGGAAGGCACTCAGGTCTCTGGGGTAAGGGCAAGGTGGTGTGGACTGGAAGAAGGTGCAGCTGGCAAACTTTTCACATGTAGTATTGAGGTCCACATTAGACCCATGAGGGCAGTGGCGGGTGTTGCTGAGAATGATCTGGGGTATAGTGACAGAAAGAGACTGAGGACGTTCTGGATGATCCAGTATGGATGAATCCAAGGGTATTATCAGCTATAAAAATATAAATAAACAGAAAATTACTGGCTCAAAATTCTATACAAAATACAACGAAGATTGGTAACAAAAAAAGACCAAAACCAGAAAATATTAGTACACTATAATCAGTTGAGTATTCACCTTAAGTTGAGCTGCATCCATGCGGATGTCTACGTGTTCATCAGACTTGTTACTGTCTTGTAAATGGTAGAAGGCTTTGACCTGGTCCAGGGTGTGTAGGAGACCCCTGGTGAACAAATTAATCCATAACACACTAGCTGGGTCAACACAAAGCTGGAGGCTGTTTAACTGGGCATACAGGTTTGAGGTGGGCACTGCAAGAAGGAAAATATGGGAAGTCCAGACACATCCAGAATTAGACAGAAATTAAACCAGCATTATTGAATACAATACACATAAAATGAAGTAATCCTTCTGTGATATTAATGAAAAAAATAAAAAATAAATACCTGGTAGATTGGGATTGTCAGGAAAGTAGTATTCAGTAAACTGCAGATGAACTGCTGGTATGTTGTCTGGTAAATGCAGCGCTTTACGGTTACAGGATAACAAAGACTGGGTCTTTTTGTTTTGTCGGCCTCTTGTAGACACCTAAATGTTAAGAAAAAAAAGTATTATTGGAAGTATTGATGGATTTATATTTTGACTAAATTGCCTTATTTGAAATATATTAAGAAGCAAAATATTCTGAATTACTAGCCAGATGTAGAGGGAGGTTTAAGAAAACAGAACTAAACCACCTGAGTCTGAACATCAAATGATTTCCTGTCCCAAATTTAAACTAAACACCAAACATTTACACAGTTTCCCCTGGGTGTCTCTTGCTCTAAAAATGAGGAAGTACAAGTGCCTTGAACTAAAATAACCCTGGATATTTTCTTTCATGATGAAAAGTGTAGAATATCTGAAGTGAAAATGCAGAACAAGCATGACTGAGTATTTCAAAGTGGCAAGGGGTTTTCTCTGTTCCAAATGAGTGGCATTACAGCTGACAAAAGAAGTCACATGTATGTGATGGGATTTTTGTGTTGGTGCTGAGGTATTCTACCCACATTTCATTAATCGTTTTGCCTATCACACTAACGATCATATTGATGCAGTAATAGTCATCATCGTCTGTGAAGGTTCTCAGTCATCCAGGTCATCGTAGTCAAAGGAGCTTGCAAAGAAAAGCGTCTGGACTTCTTTAAGTTGCTTGAAGACGTTTCATCTCTCATCCGAGAAGCTTCTTCAGTTCTAAGGTCAAATGGTGGAGAGTCCCAGATATAAACCTAGTGGGAGTGACCCCCCACAGAGGGACAAAAGGACCCCCTGATGATTGCAATCATTGCAATTATATCACTATCTTATCTATTACCAAAGTTCAAGAAAGCAACCTGACGCCCTGAGCTGACGTACCAATATTTTAGATTGACCATGTCATGTGGCTGGTGTGAAAGAGACACTTGGTTCCTCTATAAGCCCTGCCAAGCACGTGACTCCAAGACTACAAACTGGCCAGAACCTTTTGCGGTTTGAACCAACTGCAAGGCCCGACTGCTTCTACTTAGGATTAGGGAATTAGTAAGAAGAGTAAGGCTTCTGTTAGAGCAAGTAAATCAAATGAGACAATGATAAAAACTTGCCTGGTGAATGTCAACATCATCCATCCTGATCACCACGCAGCTAGATCGCAGCCTCTTCAGTGATGATCCCGAAGCAGCTGAAGTCTTGCTGGCTGCCTGCTCTTTTTCAGACGAGTTTAACTTGGGACTTGGCTGTCCATCTGAAATATATGACTAAATGCTCAGTTGCAAGCTAAAATAGAGTTCTCCATAAGAATTTGTGACCTAAAATGTGTTATTTTTTTGGTGAATGGTCACCATAATATCTTTTAATAATAATTTATAGTAGGCCGTTGTGATGAAGGAGGTAAACAAGTAATTAATCTACCGGTGTGCATGAATAATGTTACGCAGTCATATATATATATCTATTAAAAGCTATTAAGTGAACCTTGACATGAAGTTGTTTTATAAGATGACTGTTGCTAATATCATCAGCACTGACTTTTCACTCCATCTATAAAGTTTTTATCTTTATTTAGAGCTCAATCTAAACTAAAGTTAAAGAACTTTACCAAGATAAGCAGTACCTCAAGTATTACTCATACCTTGTGCTGTTTTTGCAGGGGAATCCTTGGCTGACTGGGGAATTTCAGTATGTGGTCCAGGGATCCCTGAAGCTTCAACTCTTCTCTGATACTCTTGCAGTAGTTTCCCAGCCCACTGTGCGTGGGCCTCCATGGCTCCACTGTGACGTTCCCAGTGTCGACACCCATCAGCTGTGCAAGAATAGCAACAAGAGGCAGTTGTGATTCAGCAGTCATGCTACAGTTAAACTAGTTTTAGAGATTAAAATTTGTTGTACTATGTAAACAGCTACACAAAACAATGATGCATATCAGAAAAAATATGGATCAACAACAACAACAAAAAAGACAAGGTCATTATTTTCAATAGTAGAGCGTAGAAAACAATACAGCATGCCATAAAGTTTTTTTTTTAAAACAAACAAACAAACAAACAAGCAAAGAAAATCCAGAGAAACCATTAAAGCTGAAATCTAAGAATCTAAAATAAGTAACGTATTTATATACATTTTAACCTTTATTGTACTTTTTCATGATATTATTTATACTACATAAAGATTTCAATGATATATTTTGCATGTAAACTGTTCCTGCTCTGTGAGGCTGTAAAGTGATAAAATGGTAACGTCAGAAATGACACAACGTGAATACAAACATCATGATGTTAAACAGGTATAATGGCCATCACCCTGGTGTATCAGCATTCCAACAGTGATAAAAAAAACCCTAGACATATGATACGTTCAGCAGTAGCTGGTGGGAATGTCACATGTTTTATAAGTACATAATGACAAAAGAACGTATTAGACAAATAAGATACAATCAATGTATTTTATTTATTTATTTTTAGTTTGATCTTCTGGTTGCATTACATGGCAAGTCAGAAGACTCTCAATCGAAATCAAAGAGGTCCAAGGCTCTTATTTTTTATATAAAATTTAAAATGCCTTTATTTTCATGGCACGGCCATGTTTAACCTATAAAAACTCTGCTGTGTTTCTGCATACAAGCCTTCATCGAGGCGTTAAACATTCAAGAACACACTGGATCTTTTCTAGAAGTCAAGTACTAAATGACTTGACTTCAATAACAGTAGTCCAGCTACATTACAAACCTTTGGGATTGACCACATGACAGATAAAAGACTTCTAAACAAAGGGAAGGTTTTTGGATTTTTTTATTATAGGCCACCAAATACCCCAACTTAAACGAGGATTTAATTTTACTGCTTTTTAATAAACTTTGTTTGTCGTCTTCATCATCATCATCATCGTTTATTTGTATAGCACTTTAAGAACACACCAGGCAGACCAAAGTGCTGAACAACACAGATCAAAACAACTACCAAATTAAAAATACCATAAAATCATTACATATAATAAAATAAATAAGAAGGTGTCAGTTTCCTACAGAGTTAAAAGCCAGGGAATAAAAATAGGTTTTCAATCTGGACTTAAAGACCTGCACTGATGACGCTTGTCTAATTTGGAGGGGAAGGTTATTCCAGAGCATCAGAGCCGCAATTGAAAAGGCACGGTCTCCTCTGCATTTCAGCCGCGACTTAGGGACCGACAGCAGCAGCGCGAGCGAGGAGGAACATGTGGCTTCAGCAAGTCAGATAAAATGATGTCTTATAAGATGCATTCATTTTGGCTGTGGTTGGTGCTGCTGTGCCAGTGTTTCTTTGTGACAGCTGGAGTGACACAACATAAAACTCCAGTCAAAGATATTTGTTATCACGGCAGTGGTTACAACACCAAGCTGTGAAACCCAGTTTTGAGTGCTGCCTTCTTTAGTAAGAGATGCTATCAAGTGATGATGATGATAAAAACTTAGCAGCAGACTAGAACCAAGGACATAAACATTTATACATTTTTGCATCACCAAGCTTGTAAGTGCCAAGCTAACACTGGTGTAATTTTACAGCTGGGCTTCATTCTATGTTTTTTGTAGCCCAAAACTCATTATGGTTCATTCTGTCACTGCACTTTCTTGCAGTGGTAATCAAACAGCTTTGGAGAGTACACACAACCAAAGCCACAAATGTAAAACTAATTGTGGTTCCAGTGGAAAAGTCATTATAAGACCTTCTAACCTATGCTAAAATAAATGGCCTGCATTTGTATAGCGCTTTTCTAGTCCCTAAGGACCCCAAAGCACTTCACACTACATTCAGTCATTCACCCATTCACACACACATTGGCGATGGCAAGCTACATTGTAGCCACAGCTGCCCTGGAGCGCACTGACAGAGGCGAGGCTGCCGGACACTGGCGCCACCGGGCCCTCTGACCACCACCAGTAGGCAAACAATAATACTGCTCAGTGTACTTTCAGTATATATTAAACTGGTGGGCTGAATTATCGTCAGCCAGAGCTACAGAGTTAGTGGGGCTAAAAAGTGTGAAGGAAATTTGAAATTTATGCATTTATGACTTAAACACAACTTTTTAAGAGACTGCAATTTTTCCATAATGTATCAGTTTAAATGAATCTTAACACAACAGAGATGTTTACTTGATTTAAATCTACAATTCAAAAAGTAAAGGAGTCAATACTTTTAAAAGTCAGTGTTCACACGCTGTACAGTATAAATACACACTATGTGCACACATCTGCTCATCTTTCATAATCATGCACTGTGTTAATGTTGATATCTTCTTATATTTACTTCAAACAGGTATAATTCTTAATGACACAGATTTTCTTTTTTTAAGATCCTTTTTAAGAGGTTTATTTACTATAATGAGCTCCAAGGGTGACTGCTGTTCTACATTCAACATTTCAGTAATTCCATAGAGGAACAGCACTGAGAACAGTCTCCCATGCCATTAGTCTGCTTGCAGTAATCCTCCTAAGAGCTAGTCCCAAATGAATGCTGTGGCTTTAGTGGGAGGAGCACAGAGCCTCAGGGTAAACTGCAGCTAAATGAGTCAAAGAATCAGTCACACTCACCAGGTCTGTGGACGGGATAGTAGTCAAAACCTAGCTTCCTGAAGGTCAGCTGCATGGCACCCTGCAAGCCTGGTGGGGGAGGCTCATCTATGTAATATCACATGACAAGAGTTTTAAAACCAGCCTGACAGCAATTACTCTTCAAATGCTGAACAATTTCATATATTTAAGTGATTACCATGTGCAGACAACACAGAAAAACTTAGTTACAAGACAGCAGCACATGGTAAGACACTTCCTTCTAACCTTCATCCATTGAAGAACTGTCATTGCATATGTGTAAGTCCAAGCGTGAGATGAAGGTGTGGTAAGAAGACTCTTTGACATCAAAGAGATCAAAGTATTGGCTGATGTTGCTGGGGGTGCCTGTGGGAGCCGGTTGGGGTTCTGTCCACAGACTCTGGAGGCTGGGAGATGGTGGGGCAGTCTAAACCACAGAAGAGGCAACACATTTAAAATGACCAAGATGATGATTTAACAAAACTGGGAAAAAATGTCTTACAAAAGTAAGTTTTATCAAATATCAGTGAATGTTTCTTTTCTGTTGTTGTTGTAACATAACTTGCTGAATTACTATATCCACAGATTTAAAAATTGGAATTCTTTATTAATGATTTACACTATACGTGGGAAAAAAAGTAAGGAAAGACCTGCAAGGATTCGGCAGCCATGCTTTTCCTCTGCTGTGCAGATTTCTCCATTGCTTCACTGAGAGATTTGGCATAATGGATGATGGCTTTGAGCTGAGTGTCTGTCAGCACCCACAACAGGTCGTCCAGAATGAAAAGCAGCTTTGACGCCAGCACATTACAGTCCTTTATCTGGGCAGAACAATGATGACATAAGGACATTTTATTTATTATTTTTTTTTTTTATTGATGGTTTAATGTTTCTGATCTGAAACCAGTTCTCTGTGAGAAAAGCAGATGAAGGCTCAACTACAATCTTACCCTGCGTTTAAGAGCAATGCGAATGCGCCCCTGGTTGGTGATGAGCCTTAAAGGGGTGCTACTTAGGTCTTGGTCATCGCTCTCAATGGCATCTGCCTCAATACGTAGAGTTTGCCAGTTAATTTCTTTGAATGTCAGCACCTGAATGGGAAAATATACATATAAACCCATCAAACTATAACCAAATAAAATAAACAATGCGAGACTTGTTGTAATGGTAATTTTTGAATGATTGTTACCAAGGAGAAAAGGGAACAGACATTTGCTTTTAACTGGATTACAAACTCTCATTCTAAAAGGCTGTTTATCCCAAAATAGTCTGCAGCTACCAAAGACCAGACCATGTGACTTGATTACACACCACAGAAGTCATTTACAGCAGGCTTAATGAGCAAACACGATTTCTGTGGTGGATCATTATTTTCAGTAATACATTACACGACTAAAATGGATCGTGCTGAAGCTATGTCGGGAGGAAAATGAAAGCGTTTGTGTGTATAAAGTACCTCTCCTCTCTTTGGATCAGTGATCCGGGTGTAGCGAAGATCACTACGTTGCCATTTGGGGTTCAGGCTGTTGCCTTGTAGCTGCCAGAGCTCAAAGGACGCGTGGAAGGCCTTAGCCTGGACCTTGATGGTAATTGAGTTGATCCTAACAGACATACCCTCTACTACTTTTTCAGCAAAGCCATACTCGCTGTAAATACACACGACATGGGATGCAGTACAGTATTACAAAACAAAAATGTTTCTTTAGCACAGAATTTGTGAAAGCTTACCTCTGGCCTGCTGTTATAGCTATGGGAGAGGGGCCATTGGGTGGTCGAGGTTCTTCACATGTCCTCATCTCTACCTCGACCTTGTCTAAGAACTAAACATAAGAGGAGACACAAACAGTCAGAATACAATTCAGCAAGCAAATTAGAGATGCAGCCAAAATTGAGCATATAAATATAATAATCTTTATATGCTTATCAGTCAAATAAACAGTACAATAGCAAAACAGGATATTGCTAGTGTCTTCCTAGAGTAAGGTTATTTTGGATTAAAGATGAGAAGGAAGCTAAATGTTGCAGAAATGTGCATGAGCTCTGAATAAGGACCAAAATAACACAATTCTTACCAGGCAGATGGGGCTTGTTTTCAACTTTGTCCATTGTATCTGAAAAGACAGGACAGCAGGGTCAACAGTGTCAGTCACAAGCACTTGCTGCAGCATTCTGTGTTTTTGTCATTCGCAAGCACATAGTGAGAAGCAAGCTCACACATTATGACACAGCAGCTGTGACCAAAACTGACACGCTGTAATATTTCTGCACAACAAATTAACTGGGAAACAGTAGTACTAGAAATAGTTCTAAGCATCATCTCTGTCTAGCATGGTAACTGAAGTGCTACATGTCACAGGCAACAGATAGCAGACAAGCATATGGTGTGTTAGGCTGCTGCTGACATTTGGTAAGTAGCACTCAAAATAAAGAAGGCCAATATTTATAGGAATGTCAATAGATGTGGTCATATACTGACATACTGAACAAAGCAACATGCTGACCTGTTAGTGATCCTAACAGTGACCCTACAGAAGAACTGAGGAAATCACCACACGCAACAAAGTCCATCCTTTGGGGACCATGAATGTCTGTACAAAAATTTATGGCATCTAACAAATGCAGTTAGTAACTTAGGTGACTAACAGATCAATCATCCGTTATTCCAGAGAGTCATACCAAAAGCAAAGCTGATTAAAAACAGTAACCTGATAATAATTCTTTGCTCAATGGTGCAGACATTCTTCATATTTGTGTGGGCTGCAAGGTTGGGTCTGGTGCATTTTTGAAAACAGTAAGACAATTTGATAAAACTAAATAAGTAAATGTCAGCAAATAGCTGAGGAAAAGAGACGTTATCACCCAGAGTCAGCTGGGTGAGCTCATTGTAAATATTTATTTGCAAAGGCATTCATTAAGTAATTTTTTAAAATATGTGTTAAGATATTTCAGATAAGATAAGATTTTTCAAGGGAAACTGCCATTCCACTTGAAGGTTGTTTGGATTTTTTGGCAATACAAATCCGACATCCTGAGAGCTAAATATACACTAGCTACTGTATCTCAGGATCACTCTAGCCTGCAGGCTTTGGTGTCCCTGTGAATCATGGCTTGCCTGTCTATTATCAACAAACAGTAATGGTTTGAAGGATCACAACATTCACAGCAGTGCCTCTAGTAGTGCTCATCTTTGTGGTTCTGCCACTGCTCATTTCCTCTAAGATTCAGTGGACTATGAATGCTAAAATCTATTTCTGAGACACTAATAAACACCATATACTTTTGTTGAATTAAAAGAAAAAAAGAACTATGAGACAAACACATGATGTACGTATCCGATGTGTGACAGGTTTGTTCTACTATAGTCTTCTTTGAAAAGCACATCAACTGTTAGACCATTTACAGGGATCAATATTAACATACCCTGATGGCAGCCTTGTTGCAGTAGACCCGGGTTACAGCCAGCCATGTAGGCAGGTCAAGCATGTTCTGCAGAACCTCTTCATCAAGCTCGAGGTTGGACAACTGCCCCTCCCCCTTTAGAGTACTCAGATTGATTTTGTCCGGGGACAGATTCTTCGTAAACCTAAACAAACCAGTTCAAATATAATGTTTCAGAGTGAATACATACAGAATAAAACTGGAAAAAGTTTAAATACGATACATCTAGGAAACACCAGCATATGCCACTGATGATCTGTGAGACAGAAATACCTCAAATTGAATAATGCAAATATGGAGGCAAGATGCTTTTGAAGTAGTGCAACTGGATGACTCATCCTGAGAAGCACCAGCATTCTTAATAAAGTCCTCCAGCTGCACTCCCATCTAGAGCACCCTCTTCAAAGGGTCTAAGGTAGCAAGCTCCAAAAGCCAGGAATAAAAATTCAACCAACTCAGGGTAAATGTAGCAGAAATAGCAGAAAACTGGAATATTGATTTGTTTTTGGGTTTTTTCCACCTACATTACATGGCTGAAACACCACTCTGAAAAATGTGTGTGACGTTTCAATTATCAGCTGTGAGACATTGCTTAAAATGAGGACTAAATGGCATTTCATTAGAGCTACAGATTGTAGCTCACAGTTCAGGATGTTCTTTAAACTATAAAACTTAGCATCATCTGATAACATGCTTTTCCTGATAAACGTGAGAAGCCAGTGAGCTCCAGCTTCTTTTTTATATGAAGCAACAAAATAATGGCTCATTATCTATTGCAGAAAAAACCCGCTCTGCTGCTTTTCACATTAACCCCAACAGACATCAGTGAGTCAAGCCTGGGGCGTACACCTACTTCATATGGCTGAAAATACAATACAACTTTGAAATGACAGTCCAAAGTTCTTCAGGGTTGTTCATACTTATCCAAAAGCCCAACTGCTTAGCTGTACAGTTACAGAATACTAAATTGGTTAAACAATAAACAATGTAGTTCACAGTTAACTAAATGGTTAACTTCAATCTGGCTGAGGAAGTCAAGTTTAATCAATTATATGCTTGTTATGCATGTTTAACTTCTTGTCATTACCTTGAATGCAAAGTAAGCAGAATATGATTTGACCATTTATGAAATGACCACGATGTTACAGGATAAGTGCTTTACTGAGTCAGATACTCACAAGGAAAAATTAAAAATCTTAGTGAACTACAGAAAAAAACATTGAAAATGCTTTACAACATGGGTTTTCAAAGTGTTGACAACTCTTAGTTAAGAGCTGCACAAAACAAACACATTTAGCAAATAGTGGTTTGTGTTAGTAATTGCCTTTTCCCATTTATGGCTTTTTAATTATTAGTTAAGTGGCTTTTACACTTCTTGACACCAGCTGTATTTGTTAACATTCAGATGGTTTAGTCTGCTTTGATGGCTACAACAAAATAGTCTGAAACTGATGACTATGGATGAAATGTACAGAAGTGCCTTATTTTCGTGATTGCAGGGAGCATATAACGTTCCCATGGGCCACCACTGTCCAGCAGACTGCACTTTGAGGTTTTAAGTGATTTACATCAACAGCAGGATGAAAAGATGAAATTGAAGAGATGATTGGATCATTTGCTATCACAGAACAAGCTATGGCAAGCTGGGAATGTGCTTGCATGTCAACCTTTGATGTCCACTCTGTCCTTTCTTCTGCAAATTTTGCTTTAATTATTTAGTGACAGAGACAACAACGAGGAGAATAGCTGTTAGTCAAATGCAAAGCCTCTAACTGAGCAGACATCCACTGTCCAGGCTCATCAACTTTACTCTTTATCCCATTTAGCTTTTGAGACCTTTTATACACATTTCTTCATTGCTCTCCCACCCAAATTCATTTCTTAACAACTGTAAGCAGTTGTTAAGCAATAGCTGAGAACACATTCTCCAACACCACCACCTAAAAAAAGTTGACTGTGCATCACAAAATCGGAGGCTGTCTCCTGAGGAAGTATAATCAGGTCAGATGTAAAGAATACATTGTTATTAAGTCTGAAAATAAGGTGACGTCTGAGACAGGGATATTCCTAACAACTCTAATAGCAAACATGGACTGATAACAACAATTCATTCATTTATTACGGCTTAGGACAGACATGCTTTTTATCATCCTGATAAATATGTCTGCAGGACAAAGATAGATAAAATGACGTGTATTTCCACCATAACATTGCCGATTTAGAGCTTTGCTTTCCCTTTCCCATGCTTTTTATGCCGTGAAGATGAGATTTATTCATGCACTGACAATAAACCCATTCAATATGAATTTTTTTCTTTTAAATAACTGTCAAAACCTCATTCCTGACCCCTGTATGAATAAAATACAGACATTCATTAACTGTAGATCGAGTGAATTTTGTCAAATCTGTGTTACCATTATATTTTCACCCCAGTGAACGCTATAGCATGGACATAACCGTTTAAAAAGCAAGGCAGTATGTAGTATATAACCCTGTAAATAACATACACATGATTGGGAAAGTAGATTGGCATCCTGTGTCGTTCACTGCCTCTTTACACTTTCTAACCGTTATTTGCAAGTCGCTGCTTCAATGTGGAGCACTAAACCAACGTGGACATCAAATTACTCTGACTACATGCAGATGATAAATCGCAGCCAACTAACCTTTGCTGTGGTTGTGAGCAGTAACGTTGCAACAATACAGCTGGGCTAACTGGCTAACACTAACCCGAACCTGACACTTACCTTGACAAATGTTTCAGGATTTGCTTTTTAATAATCCCAGCCATTTCTGCGAGCGTTAGTGTCGAAAGGTGTCGGCAGTTTTCCTACATATATAAACATATGTTAGCTCGCAGGCACCTCTATATTGTACACAGCACTAGCTGTGTGCATCTTCTTAGCCGCTGCTGGCACAGCACGGCACAGCACAGGCTAGCCGCTAAACACCGCACAGAAGCTAACCTCCTTTTTCTCTCACACGCACGCGCACTAAAAACAACTTTAACGAGAAATCGCAACCTGCGCCAATGACACAATGCTGCCCTCTGCTGGATATTCAAGGGAAGTGGGAAGACAAGTGGCTTTGAACTGAGGCTGAACGATCCCACAAAATATTGAATTAAACTAGAAATAAATATCACAGTGAGCGATTGGTATTGCTTTGACGTTATGTGTTACTTGTTAACACACAAGCTTACATTTTATATGTATTAATATATATTTAAAACCTTTAAACACAGATTTTGAAGTTTAAAAAAATCATTTAAAAATATGGCATTATAGTAACTGCATATATTTTTTAAAACAAAACTTCAACTAGGCAGAATGTTAATACTGAAGGATATGACCTTGTACAACAATTACAGTGGATATTGCATTTTTATCTTGTACCTAAACAATGGCTCTCTTTCCTTTCAACAAGACCACTGTGACAACAGTGCTTTTCTACTGGGAAATGTCATAATGTTTTTCCTGACAGCTTACTGATATGCACAAATAAGGCAAAGTAATACAAGGCACATTGGGTGTTAGGTAATGTGAGGACTGGTCCCCGACTTCCTCATTTCACTGTCAAATTTAATTTAGTCATTTCTTTGTCCTCTTGTCTTCTAAAACAGTTGTATAGCACCACCCATGGCACCATCAGATATGTATCCATCCCCTTGCGTTCAACAGTAGCCCCAGTAGAACTTTGGGAAACACTCATTTAAAATTGTGTTATATTTGTAAAAGACTATTTACATGGAAATTGGAGCTGGGTTATATTCCAATATTGACATTGTTTCTTTGTTTAGGGGTCCATGTACAAAATACGATCTACAGTGTGCTGTTTGCTTGCGGGGCGGGGGGGTGTTTTGGTTTTTTTGTTTTTGTCTACAGGTGTTTATTTTACAGTCTAACTGCATAGTCCCACTGCTAGTACTTCAAGTATCACCAAGAATATCGTTTTGCTTAAAACTATGACCTTTTCTAGGATAAATAAACGATACATTGTTATGTATACTTTAAGTTATATTCCTTAGGTTGTTCTTTTCTTCTTCTTCTTATCATTATTATTAGTGAATAATTTATTATTTATTTGTGAATTATTATTATTGGTATTTTAATTAATCTGCCAGTTAATTACTGTTGTATACGCGTAGAAGATGTTTTAATTAGCGTCCACATTTTTCAGTCACGGAGGCTCAGGATGCAATCAGGTGACATGCGCACTCGACCCTGTTACCGAGTTTGTTATGATAAGTCGAGGCCTCGGACTAAATTAGGAGCCAACCCCCCGTGTTTATCCGGGCGAATCCCGTAATGGAGGGCATGGACCTGGACCAGGAGCTCATGCAGAAATTCAGCTGCATGGGTACAACAGACAAAGATATCCTCATATCAGAATTTCAGAGACTTCTTGGGTTTCAGCTAAACCCCGCAGGATGCGCCTTCTTTCTGGACATGACCAACTGGTGAGCTCGGGGACTCGTATGGCCTGCTGTTTGGTTAATGTTAGATAATATATAATGTGTACCAGCTAGCTTTCTGTGTAGCAGCATTTTTTGTACAAAGATAGTCTGCCTGAAAAACAAACAAACAGAAAATATCTCTGAAAGTTTTGTCCTCGCAGAACAAAAGCGTTTACGTTGGCCATAGAAGCGTCGGCTCAGTGACGGCTAACGACGTTGAAGAAGCGTAACTAGCTGAGTCAGTGTGACTCCGACTTTTGATTGCCTGTAACAGACACAGTGAAGGGTCGCAAGATTTGCATACCGGTGGAAAATTCCGTTGAAACAAATACTTTTTCGTTTAGGCACAACATAGCACCGAAGCGGATGCTGTATATGACAAAAAACATGTTCACGTGTGTTAGCCTGTTGTTAGTCACCACTTTTATTCTGAAAAGCTAGGACGTACAGGATAGCTAGCTAACTTAAACTGAACTAAACGGATAGTTAGGATTTATTTCAGTCTTTTAACTTGTTATTCAGTGAGTTACATGAGTACCCTTTAAGATACCCGTTACCTTTATTGTCGATACAACTACAGTACATTGTGTCTATACTTTATTACGTAACCCATCTACATTGAAGTTGCAGAGACGGAGCTCAAAGATCACTGAAGCTCAGAGATCTGGTTGCGCAAACCAGATCAATCTTAGCCGGACAGAATGTATTTCAGTTTTTTCACGTACGGAGGGTACTTGATAAGTCTTGTGTTTTTTAGGAAAAATGTGACTTCCGGTGGCATGTTTTAACAGTGAAACAATTCGCGGTGCCATTGCAGTGTACGGAAGCGAAAATGAATGTGCTGCTGAGGGGAAAGGCCATTTTGAAGTCATCCCAAAAATAGATTTCTCTGCGCATATGCGGCGCTGAGCCAGCTAATGCGGGTCTGTGGAAGATCAACTGTTCCAGCAGTGCGTTCACTGGGAGTGGGGCTGTTGTAGTATCACGTGATCTCGCTGCTCTGCAACGGGGTTTCTAAAAATAAAAACTGCTGGTTTATGGATGACCTGGTGTCACGGGAAGAACCCATCCTCAATGTGTCATACAGAAGCGTGATCTGTCTCCTTGTGATGCCTGATGATGGGGATGATTTTTGTCAGTGTACAATTACTAACTTTAAATGAAGCATGGGGAAAAAAAGCAAAAAAACAAACAAACCCCCAAATGGCTGAATTTAACCTTCACATGTGTGGAAAGGCTATAGCCTGTAGAATCATTTATCAACCAGCTGTAAAAACCGAGGCGTTACTTCTGCAACTGTATTATAAGTGAATATTTAGATTTACTCAAATTTCTGTTTTTTCATTCTTAGGAATTTACAGGCAGCCATTGGAGCCTATTATGACTTCGAAAGTCCCAACATCAGTGCACCCTGCATGTCCTTTGTAAAGGATGTGACGATTGGTGAGGGTGAATCCGTTCCACCTGACACACCTTTCACAAAGACCTGGAGGATACAGAACACCGGTAAGTCAGCTAGAATAAGAATAACACTTGTGTTGGAAAATAAAATAGTAACAGTATTTCCCAATGGTTGACTGCTTTGATGGGGTGGGTTGTCTGCAGTGGAGACTAATGTTGGTCTGTCCAGTTTTGGCTTTAGATGAGTAGCACTTTTTGGGAGCTATTATTTTACCTCTAGTTGGCTAGAGAGTTGTTGTCAAGTGGAGTATAACTGTGTTTTCATCAGCATCACTCAGACATGCACATAAACACAGTGACAGCCATAGACTAAAGTCTGTTGACCGCAGATATACTAAAGTGTCATTATAAGTGACTGCAAAATGCATGCACCGCTGTGCTCTCAAACCCATTGATTTCATTGGCAAAACAGTTTGTCACTGGACAAACCGCAGCACTCAACCTGGGAGTGCTTAAAGACACTGTGGTCATATTTTAACAGATATGAATTTGGGCAAAAACACTGTAATGACTGCCTGAAATTGTTTCTTCTTGTAGGCTGACCTGTGTGTAAGGCCAGTTTACATTTCGTATATCATCCTCCTAATAGCTTTACAGCTGTATTAAACCTGTGGAGGTACATAGGAAAAGAAATGCAGATATTGCACAGGAAGTTTTGAAAAGTCCCTATTTTGCTCTGTCCTTCAGCGCTCCCAACAAACAGCATATTGAATCCAACTGCAAGCACCGTGCACATGGCATCCTGTGCAAAGGCCCTGTTGCGTTTTCAACAAATCTCATTTTATTTAAATAAGGTGGCATTACGTGTTACATAACTGAACTGGCTCTTTTGATTCGCTTTTCTTGTGTCAAAAATGTTAGGAAAAAAAAAATGTAACTTTTCAAGCAACAGCAAATCACTTGTTTATTTAAATGCTGCAGCTCTGCCTCTAGCCAACCAAGGCACATTATATAAAAATATTCCAAAAGAATGAGGTAGTTGGTTGAGCAGCCTGCCATTCAATACTGATCTAAAATAGAAGCTGATCATTGGTTAGTAATCACTATATCGTACATGAGTACAGTTCGTAACAAGAAAAATTGTCTGTTTGTCTTCCAGGTGCAGAGTCATGGCCTCCAGGAGTTTCTCTGAAGTATGTTGGAGGAGATCAGTTCGGCCACATAAACATGGTGATGGTGCGTTCTCTAGACCCGCAGGAAATGACTGATGTCAGTGTGCAGATGCATAGTCCTGTATCTCCGGGTATGTACCAGGGCCAGTGGAGAATGTGCACAGCTACTGGACTTTTCTATGGAGGTGAGAACTACAACTTTACTTAAAAAATGTTAAATGGAGTTACTTATCGTGATGATAAGTAACTCAATTTTTATGATAAGTAACTCCATTTATTTATTTATTAACTTCTTTTTTGTTTTGTTTTTTTAAATGTTTTTGCTATAAGACAGCCAAAATGTGTTTCCTGGTTGATTCTGATGGCATAGGATTATGGGGATTTCCTTCAGAGCTAAACAAGGGGTTGGAGCCATAAGTAATATATCAGCTGCTAGGGCTGTTCGATATAACGATATATATTGGATGACGATATAAAAACATTTATAGTTTCATTTTACGCTATCGTTTGTTTCGTGGTGTCGCAAAATAAACTGTTTACGGCAATATTTTTTCATCGTTTTGATCGTCACTGTAGTGGCTATATTAATTTCTTAAAGTTCTCTCTTTCTCATAACCACACTATGGATGGACAAGCGCCTGTTTTTATGCGTTGTCATTACCAAACAACGATGGTAAAACCATCGTGTGTCCGCCTGTTTATTTTCCACATAAACCTTTCACAATAAAGCTCAAGATCCTGTTGAGACTTTTCAAAATAAACTGAATCACGTGAAAGAGTATGCAGAGTATTTACGGATGAGAAGCAAAAAAGAGCCGTCAGGTGCTAAAAAATAAACCTTAGACTCAAACGTTAGAACAGGCTTTTCCCCGCAGCACGCTGTGTAATAAATACTCACGAAGAAAACGGCGGCCGTTACAACTTATGTCAAAAAAAGTATCGTTTCATGCATCGGTTAAAACACTCGACTCCAGGTACATGACGCGCAGCTGGAAACACTTCACGCAAGACGAGCTACCCGAGATTCACAGAATTTACAGAAAATGTTAAACTTTGTGATTTATATCGTTATCAGGACGATAGATGTCTTATATTGGGATATGAGATTTTGGTCATATTGCACAGCCCTATCAGCTGGTACAAAAAAGAGAGAAAACTAGAAATATTGTGTAGGAAGACATTAATAGACCTACAGCTGGGGGATAACTTACCTAAGGTGCAAGTAAGTTATCTTCAATAAATGGAATTTCTTGAATAAAAAGACAAAGTGACTCTAATGAAATAATGTCATCTTTTTGTCATGCTAACTTACTGTTCAAGGTTTAAATTCTATTGTGGAAGCACTGTGGTTGAAGCACTGCTACGCAGATGGTTATTCTTCAGAGCTTTGTTGGAATCTTATTTGGTCTTGAACTTTTAGACAGATAAGTCAAGCTATTTGTAGAGTGCCTTTGTTTGGGGTTTTTGGGCTTTGTTATGTATACACAGAAAAAAATGTTCAAATCAAGTAAATCTTATTTATATACCTTGATATCACATTACAGTTTTGCCTCAAGGGGCTTTACACGGCACACAACAACCCTGTCATTAGACAGTTAATTAAATTAGTCACATTTTGTTTGTGATTCATGGCTTATATAAGCTGCTGACGCTGAATTATACATGTCGTCCAGGCTTACTTTGTGTTGACTCTACAAAACCTAAAACCCTAGTCAGAGATAATGGTGTTTCGACAGTGGTTATCAGCTTTCTTTGTTATCTCAGGCCTTTTGCTGATGAAAACGCTGTATATAACCTACTCCAGACAAGACTAGACTATGCATTTACCATTAGTTACCATGGTGATCTAGGCAGGTGAAGCGAGACCCACTGTTGGGATGCTAACAGCTCGGACATTAGGATCACCATACATTGCTAACCCATTAATTTTGCTACACTGTACAATGTGCCGTGCCGCAGTAACAGGGAATTATTAGCACTTCATCTTCATTAATGAAGATGAAGTGCTAGATCATTTTGTATGGATGTGCTGCAATAAAACTTAATTATTTATCATTAAATTAATTGATTTATGTCCTATCAGGATGTCTCTAAAGACTTCTCTACTTACAAATTAAGCTGGAGAGGGATGTTGAATTTAAACACTGGGCTTTAATATTTCATCCACCTGTTCATCACAATTATTTCCCACCTAAAATAGTTTCATGCTGACTTAAGGAGTAAGAAGAGGGCTGCAGATCAGAATCACATTAAGTCTTTGAGGATACAAGGTGTGAAGTGTAGTCCAGCCTAATTATTATACAGTAAATATTTTGTAACCGTTTGATTTATTGGTATTGGGTAATATCCTGCATATAGACACAGGTTTAGTTACATGTTATCAACTCTATGATTATGTTTAAGCACACCATTGTCTATTTACAGATGTAATTTGGGTGATCCTGAGTGTGGAGGTTGGAGGCCTCCTTGGTGTCACACAGCAGCTTTCCTCTTTTCAAGCTGAGTTCAACACCCAGCCTCATCGTAACCTGGAAGGAGATTATAACCCCTTCGCCTCACCAGAGAAAAACAAGTGCCCTAACAGCAACAACAACAGCCTTCACGATGACAGCAACCATAGAGTTGCAGAGGAACATTGGGAGGGAAGCCCAAACCAGCTGCAGCAAGACCAGAATGGACTTTCACAAAACTCTGTGGATATATTAGCAAACAGTCTACAAAGCAATCTATCAGTAGTCTCTTGCAACCAGGTGAGACATATCACAGAGCCACAACATTGTCTGTGCATGTTAATTAGGGTTGAATCACACTGAATCTTTTGTGGACAAAATTAAAAGGTCAACATTTGCCTTTAATAGATTATCCCGAGTGGTGGTGTGCTCAGAGCACGTATTAGAACTAAATGCAAAGTTTACCAGCTGTAATTTTGCAGTGTTGGCCAGGACAGCTCCATGCTGTTGTTGGTATGGCACAGACTAATGTAGCTATACTGAAAAATATAGACTTTAGACACCGAAAATCTGTAAAGCTGCTGTTTAGCAAGTTCAATAGTTTGGACTTTTTCTGCTCATGTCAGCACCTTTTAAAATCTACTTTTAATGTTTGCTGTTGCTAAACAGGAAATACCCTACGCCCCTAGTCACACAGGCGTAGAGATTAGTTGGTGATGCCCTTGCTGAGTGGGTGCTGGAATTGCTAACAATCACTGAATTAGTTGCAGTGACTGTAAACTGTGAAGCTATGTTTTCTGTCTGTTGTTGGTCTACTACTACTACTACTTTTTTTTTTTTTTTAATCCTTTCTCTTTGTTGCAGGGTATACAGGAGCCCTATCCATTTGGGCACTCTTAAATCATGGGACTTGTGAAGGAGTGAAGCAGCACTAAAATCATACCTCTGGAGTCTGTCACACCAACAAAAGAAAGAAGAGGTTCATCAGTAGAGAGTGGAGAGTGTGGAGATTCAAAAACACTTTATGCAAAGTCCAGTTAGACTGAATATCCGGAGGCCAACGCTCCTGACATGCAGCTCAACCAACATCCTGCACCCACTGTATGCACGTGTGAATGCTAAGTTAAAAATGAGTGCTATGAGTCTTTTGAGTGATAACTTTTTTTCTTTTATTTTTCAAAAAAAAATAATTTTTTTAGCAGTCAGAGTACCCATTAAACAGATGACAGGAGTGTGTGAATGTTTGTGTATTTGTGTGTGGATTGTGCAACATGACAAAAGAGAATTTGGAGGAAAAGCCATTCACTTTGCCAACTGATTCTCCGGTTTCTACTCTGATTTATTGGTATGTTGATTAGGTTTGTGGACTCTTTGTTGTCTAGACTACTAAATTCCTGAAACATAATTTATGCATTTTTAAAGAAACAATATTTTCCAAAAGCTTATTTGAAAGTTAGATAAGTCTAAACTGTGTTTTTCATGCCACATACAGTATGACCAGTATTTTGTAAGCCGTTAGCTGGAAGTTTAGAAACAGTGCAGCTTATTTAAACAAGAGGGAATCGGCCAAATTGAAGCTAAGATCAGAGAAACAGAAGTCTCATACATTAATTACAAATATTTTCTGACATAAATTATTTTGTATTATTGGTAAATGTTCCTGACTTCATAGTTGGGTCATTAATTCATACATTAATTCATAAAAAGTTTTAAAAAACTAGATTCCTGCAAAGTATAAGATGCGTAATTCAAGTCATATAAACAGAAGTAAAGACATAATTTCTCATTATGAATCCGTTTGGTTGTTTGTTTACTGCTTCAAATTCAACTTAAAGCTGTCTTGGAAATGTTTTTAACATATTAAGTTGAATGTAAATGATGAATGTAGAAGGGGAAAATTCTTTTGGAAACACATAAATTTACCCAAAGATTCTTAATGGGATATTTTCATTCAACTGTCAGTTTTATTCATGTTATTGTTGGTTTTCATCTCGTTAAATTTATGTTTGAGAAGTTCCATTTAAAAGACTACAAACGGTCTCATTGATATTTCTCATTTAATCACACGCTTGATTTTTTTTTTTTATCACCAATCAAATAACTGATTCATATCCTTTTTTTTTTTTTTAAGTAATGTTATTCAGCATTTACTTACTTGCTAATCTATGCACTGAGTAATGAACCCCAATGGCAAGGCCTCAGTGTACCTTTTCTCCTTGGTAAGAAGGTGTGTTTTTTTTATGCTGTGTGTTAGATCCCTGTCATACCCTTTTATGTTGAGGCCTGTAACCTGATGAGAGTTGACGTGAGAACACCGTTCAGCTGACACTTGAGGATCCATGAGATCTAAATGTTGCTTAGAACAATGTGCATTTCCTGTTAATAAAGAGAGAGATTAATGTTTATCTTGCTATCAGAGGTAGTTATTGTCAATTTAATGTAATATTGCAAAGTTTCCACTGGCCAAAATGAATTGCAGAATGAATCAGTTGGCATTAGACTCAAACAGCAGCACATTTAGGTGAGTGAGAAGCAAACAGATGAAAGCTTATTTCTGGTATGTTTGATGAATGTTTGTATGATTAAATTATCAGTGAAAATGAAAGCCTGTGTGGTCATGCTTTTCATGGTTTTATGAAGCGACTCACTAGCAGATTCCAAGAAAGAAAATTAAACCTTTAAATAATGGCTGTTATGATGGTGGCTGTATGTTTTACTATGAGAAAGTGTAAAGATTAAAAAAAAAACAACCCTCAGGAATATTTCCAGCACCTTGTTGAATCTATGACATGACAAATTAAGGCAGCTCTGAAGGCAAAAGTTTGTCCAACTCAGTGCTAGCAAGGTGTAACTAGTGAACGTATGTACAAGGAACGAAAATGTGTCTAATACTTGGTGATTTCATCATTAATCTTAAAAGGGCTTTTCCATCTGTGACAGATTTTTAAATGCTGCTTATTAACTGAAAAAAAGAAAACAGCAGCAAATTCTTCAGCCTATATAACAGTCTATATTTATATATAACGCATATATAAATATAATTTTCTTTAAAGTCTTGATGTTTCATGAACATGTGACATAGGTTGGATGATACTACTGATGACATTCAGAAATTCTCTGAATTGCTCGGAGAGCTGAAATGTATTTATCAGACACATTTGTCATTTTAAAGTTAAAATAGTCGCTGCAGTGAGTTTATTTATAAAGGACCAATGAGAAGAAAAGGAGAAAAGTTTAAAATGCTTGTTTGTAGTCCAAGAATTAAAAAGATGTGCTTGAAAATCAGCATAACACATCCACAAAAGATCCACCTGAGTGTTGGACAGTCAGATCCCGGAGCGGCATTACTGCTCAGCATCAGTGTAGCAGTATCAGGTCTCCTTTTCATGTATAGCATAACCAGGGCATGGCACACCTGTCTCAGGTAGATCCGGTGATCTCTAACGTTCTCCTAACTTCCATTCCGGGAAGTTCCCCATTAAGGTGATGAATGCAGCAATGAAGTCATTTGTCTTTAAAACATAACACTAATCTCCTTTATAATGTATCATTCTTTAATTTAAGACCTTTAGAAAAGATGAACTAAATAAATAGTTCAGTTTATTAAAAGTGGAACTTAGTGATCTTTGAAGGTAGATGCTTTCTGTTTTTCCAAGGTTCGATGTAAAAAGTGCCTAGTGGACTAAAAAAAGAACGAGTCAGTGGCTCTTTCTTTGGCCTTGGCTCTTCAAGTGCCCCTCTAGTTTTAGAATTGCATTTTCTAATATTCCCATCCAGGTATATTTAATTCAAAATTAGGAAATGTTTTATTATTAAACCAGTCTTGATAAATAGCACTTTTTATGTGTCAGTGATATGGCATGGTTTATTCCCATGCTCTACAATAAAAATAAATAAATTGGTAGCATGTTATAATAATGTTGCACTATTAAGCATTAGTAAGGTATTAGCAAGTGCTTCATTCATCATCATATAGCATTACTCCTCCTTAGTATGCCATTTATAAAGACAGATATAATATTATGACTACGATGATGATTCTGATTATTACTCCCAGTGATGTCGTAGCAGTGGTAGCTGTAAATGATGTAACAGTAACAGATGGATAAACATATCTGTATTTATAGATAGCATAATAAAGCGGAGTAATGATAAATGATGAATTAAGAACTTGCTAATACCTTGCTAATTTCTTGTAGCGTGACATTATTATAAAGTGCCACTAAATTAAATTAATGGTTTAATAACGAATAACTCCAAATCATGCTGTCTATAGACAAAAAAACACACAGAGGCTACTTTTTTGTCAACAAACTTGTTTCCCTTTCAAACCAATATCGCAATATTGACACCATCACAACAAATTTGATTTGGGTTTTTCATCACTATCGTCATTATCTGTGATCATAATCATCTTTATGCATATTTAAATGAACTTGTTACATCAAGATGAACAGGCACTACACCAGTTAGGAGATAAAAGTACATCACTAACTATGAACATACATCTTCTAGACCGCTAATAAAGGGTTTCCACAACATGAGCTGCTGTCCCCTGTGTGCATAAGGAAGAGATCAACATAAAAAAGCATTTTACATGTACACCTTTTTACTGCCTCAACATGGTTAGGTCTCATTTTCAACTCAACACAGTTGTACAGTTACAATAGAATATAATCTTTAAATTACATCATCATATACAAATCTGACAGCGTGGGGTAACGTCACGCTTTTATGATACACTGACAATTCCATTGCAATAAAATTCATACAATATGGTACCTATTACTTAATATGTTTTCCATTGCTGTTATTTAATGAAACACATTTACATGTATAACACTACATTTTGTCTTAATAGTCAATCACTTGCATTTTTTTTTGTGGTTTTTTTGTTACATTTACACAACTCATACACACTGGGTGATGGAGATGTTTTCCCTCAGAATATTAACCTGATAATGTGGATTATGCATTTGAACCTGTGTGTATTGTGTATGTATATCCTGCTTAATGCATGTGTGTTTGCACGTGTGTGGAAGTGTGTGCGCATGTGCATCGAGGATGTATGACATTTTTATGACAGGAGTCCTTTTTGCTATGCTGGACAGCTTTACTCTAAGACACAACTCGTGAGCTGGTGATGTGTTTCTCCTCATGTGTGAGACCCAAAACCTGTCAAATCCTGTTCCAGACACAAAGCTAAACACATCTGACTGTTGTTAGTCTGGTGACATTTAAACTAAGTTATAAATAGCAATCTCCAATCTAATCAGATTTAGGTGCAACTGGTAGCAAGATAACTCACTAATCCACCTTTGATAAATGCAATTCCTGCTATGATTTTAATTTAAATGGTGCAAGATTTCAAAAATAACCATGTAATGCACCCTGTAAGTCATCCTGCATGCAGTGCAGTACTTGTCATATGTATCCCCAGTATTTTGTAACATGTTTGGGTTTTTTGACAACTGAATTTTGATGGACTGTGAAGCAACTATAAGTTGATCTTCAGTGAAGCTGCTTCACACTGATATGGTAAATTATTGCACGGAGTGAAAACAGATAGTTGATGGTATTGGGTCGTTCTTTGGCTCAGCATTAAAACGGGCCACATAACTAGTGCTTTTTGCTAGGCAAGGCTTTAAATGACAGTGGAGAACAATGCTTATACGACACGCCCTCTTTCAAGCCCAAACACTAGTACATTCATGTCCTGTTGGAGAGGCTTCAATCTTCAGACAACAGTCTGTAGCACAGTAACACACTGAGATGCCTCCACTGGCCCTTCACTCTGGAAGAAAAGTCCCCAGCATATGCACTGTTCAAAACCCTCCTCTCAAACTGCAGTGGAAACCTCATGATGACTTGATCCGCCTTCACTCTGAGGGAATGCATCGCAGGTCTTTCTCGTTATCAGTAGCGGGACATAGTAAGGAATTACTGAACCAAGGATGAGAGCTTCTGTGAAAAACTGTAAATCCTTTCCATGATTTGCATGAAGATGGTTTTCTCAAAGGATTTGTGACGCTAAGAAAAACAGATGTTGAAAGCAAAACAAACCAACATAAAATCAGTTCATCAACAAGCTTTCTCTTGTGAAATTAGAAGCATGTGCATGTCCAGAAGCTTGTGATGCTAAGAAGTAATCTCTGCATTTGTAGTTGAAGTGTTGCATCAGGTTGGAGCCTAAACAAGGCTGCAGGATTCAGGGAATGCACGTCGTTGCATAGCACATGCTGCTATGCAAGTTCAGAAACAGTTAACACACGTAGCACTGCACACACTGGAAAAGAGGTTGGACCAAATCACAAAGAAAAAACAAACAAACAAACAAACAAAAAACCAAAAAGAGGATACTGTCAGTGGTACTTTTAAAACTACACAGCATTCCTGATGTGAGAATGATGGCTGACCGTACACAGCATTAAAAATGCTACACAAAATGGCATCACACTGTATATACACAATGCAGGTTAGAGAAGCTCATCTTTGTCAAATGGGTACAACTGATTATATTATCTTCCCATTTTCACAAGTGAACTCACTGCAGTTTAAATAAGCTGCATTATATTGTTAAATACAGCTACACAGACAAGCAATGTGTTCCTGCACTGTCTTGATGTTATAGTTGAGTGTGTATATACTGGAATAACTGCTGCTCTTGTTTTTAAATGTGTAAGTTCGCCCACCCCAAATGCTGGATAAAATATATTATACTGATATATTGTCTTTTAGGTTACTAAGTTTTATTTAGGCAAAACTGCTTGGCGCATCTGTTGGGCAAGGGATGTGTTGCTCTTAAGTCTCTGGCTATGTGCGGTGCAATTGGACGGGACAGTTCAAGCTGCCTCCAATGGCATATCCTTGTCCAGTAATGTGACTAGATTGGCTCGACATAATTGGCTGGGTACAGTCCCTCTCTGCCGTTGTCCAAACGACCTCTACACCAGCCTTGCTCGTCTTCATCCTCAGTCTTAGTCAGTTCATCGCCTGCAAAAGACAAATGATTCCTTAATCAGCACACTCGTACGTTTCACTTAAATCTAAAGCAGAGCTATTCATCAGAATATTTCCACATTTTCTCCTTTATTATGTATTTTGATAATAAATCACCGGAAAGAAAGAAAAAATCCTCACTCTAGTAAACATACAGTTGCAAGGTAGAACCACCCAAAAGCTCCTTTATTCTAGTTTTTTTTTTTTTGCAGTTACGCATAGTTTGTAAAATAACATTATGTTGTATAAATGAGACTTTTGAACTTTCCACCAAAACTATAAAATAGATTAAACTAAATAGGCCAGCAGCAGGTTAACTTAGCGTAGCACAACCACCAGAAACATGAATAAACAGCTAGAGTGACATCAAATGTGTGCTGTGTTGGTAACACTGGTTAGTTGTGTATTTGTGCTTTAAGGTTGTTAGGGGAAAAAAGCAAAACTGTCCGATAGATAATATGTCAAAAACCCACAACTTGTCTGTTTTTCACTTTCTTGTACAAGAATAACTTACACAGAATTTACAGCATTTATAGTATCATTTTATTTGTATATCCTCAGAGAATAAAGTACTCCTTTAGATCAAGGATGTCAAACTCATTTGAC